CATATGTTCAGAGCATCTATGTACCAAGTTTCATCAAAATCCAATGAGTGGTTCTTTAGATATCAGTGGAACAGTCATAGAACAGCTAAAAATTAGCTAATTATCATGCAAATTAGGTAATTAACAAGCATGGATTTTTACCAAAACCGAATCAAATCTGCGCATTGGCCCAGAGCATCTATGCACCAAGTTTCATCAAAAACCGATGTATGGTTCTTGAGATAGCAGTGGAACAGTCGGATACACATACCAACATACAGACATACACACACACACATGCCGGTACACACACACACATGCCGGTACACACACACCCATACACACACACACACACTAACTGCAAAGACTCCCATTATGTGCTTCGCACATGGGAGTCAAAAATACATGAAAACAGACAAAATGTTGCACGAAATTTTTGCCAACAAAAATTTTGGCACTGAAAGGGTTAAATTTCGAAACTGTTGCATCCTCTGATTATACTCTTATAAATGCCATTATTTTGATGATCACATGGAGACACAAACTGTTTTTAATTGTTATCCTTATTTGGAATAGTGATTGCAAATATTGATACAACCATGTATAAATTTTATAGCATTTGACACCAGCGCACATGGCTATAGCATACATTATTTACAAATAAGTGTCTTCCCATGAGCCTTTGTATTTTTAGCGTGCTATCATCGATTAGGATTTGCATTTGCACAGGTGGCGACATTCCCGCATTTGCACAGATGGCGTCCTCTCCGCTTTAAGACAATAACAGAAGCATAGCGTACACATCATACATTTAATTGCAAGCAGCAAAAAAACCATAGCAACAACAACAACAACAACACGGAACACTGCTGGAGCACTACACATGCAATGTGAAAGCTGTGGTTAGTGATTGGCTGCTGAAAGTCAGAAAAGGAAATGTAAAAGTCATACCACTCAACACGGCGTTACTCCGTCATGGGAGCAAGAGACGTAAACTGAGAAAAGAAGATTATACATCACAGATGAGAAATAAAGAAGAAAATAAACATAATATAATAGTGTATGTGGAATATGTTTCAAAACTTGCATATAAATATGTACATATTAAATACGTATACATTTGTCAATAATTAACTGACATTGGTTGTGTACTAGTCCCCAAATTGAAGTTGTAAAACTTTTAAAAATCTGAGCAGCAAGGAGCTGCAATCAGTACAGCGAGGGGCAGTGAGTATACGGTACATGCAAAAATTGCTGCTGCTCTGATTGTTGCACCAATGTCATTCCTGGGTGGCTTGATAACTGCTCTGTTTCTGTGATCAGGGTGCGGAATCTCAGCACTCATTTAAATGCCATCTCGTCAAGGTATATATTAGAGCTATCCTCATGCCTTTGTCCAGAGAACATAACATTGATGCACTCTTGTGAGTGGATAAGGTTATACAGTGGCTGAATTTGATGGAAAGCGTCAAGAAACAGTAAGTCATATTTTAGATCCAGGAGGTGAATTTATGTCAGGTAATTAATGCCAAACATTAACTGCATGCGTTATGTATTATGGTTTTGGTAGTAAACCATCACTGCAAAAAACAAAATTAACAACAACATGCAACCACGAATGAACATAACAGTATCTACTACACAACATATTCAGACAATATAACAATTGATGAAATTTCAAAGACATTAACAAGACTCAACAAAATACTAGCCGATTACAATCATTTTGGTGTATGATAAATTCACATTTTCAATGAGTAATGAACAGCAATCTAACAGCTCAAATGAAAATTTTGTTTTTATTTGTTTATCTTCTTGTTTCTAGTTAAGACTAATATTGTTATAGAGTTTGCTATTTTTGTTTTCTCTGTTATTTTGTAGTACTGCGTTATGAATAAGGAAAATGACACAGTTGAAATGAACAATACCATTATCAAAATCATTTAAAATCAAATGAAATGGGACTTACGCTCTTCACTCCTTTTTTGATATCCATTTCATCCTTTTTAAATCTTTGGTTCAAATCAGCAGCAAGTTTAGACATCTTTTCATCACTAGGCGTTCCATTCGGGTCATCTGGACTCAGCATTTTTTCAAAATCAGCAGTGTTTTTGTTGGCACGCTCTTTCATCGTCATGGTACGCTCATATCGAACTCTAGCAATCCGCTCTTTTACCATTGTGATCTGCCTTTCACGTTCGTCCTATAAATAATCAAAAACAAAATTATGTGATTGATAACAAGAAATGAAAAGAAAATAGTGAGTGGTCATTATTTGCTGTATTCCTTCATATTTGGTATTGGTATTTCTTTGCTAATAAAAATGTAATCTCATTAAAAAAAAACAGGCATTGGTAAAAGGTTTTAAGGCCAGGAATTGGGTAAAGGGTTCAAAGGCTGGGCATTTGTAAAGGGTTCAAAGGCTGGGCATTGGTAGAAGGTTCAAAAGCTAGGCATTGGTGAATGGTTCAAAGGCTAGGCATCGGGTAAAGGGTTCAAAGGCCAGGCATCGGGTAAAAGGGTTCAAAGGCT